CCCCGCGGCCTCCCGGACGGCCCGCCGCCGCCTATCCGACCGCGCCGCCGCCGCCTACCTGACCGCGCCACCGCCGGTTAGAAATTTTTTTTTCTTTTGTTTTGTCCTCTAAAAACGATGTGCGTCTTATGGTCAGGTGCGTCTTATGGTGCGAAAAATACGGTACATTTTTTATAACAGTGTCCTCTGTTTTTAGATTTTTTCCACGAGTTGATGAACCAAGTATTGAGAATGAAAATATAGATCTTACCAAGTATCCTAGAAGAAGAACTATTTTCAGAGGAAAATCTTTTATGTTTCTAACGGCAAAACAGGTAAATGGCTTGCTATTCAAAGCCTTATCTAGCCCAAAGGGCTAAGTGGGGATGGAATTGATTCATACATGGATGAAAGACCACCAGAAATCCAATGATACTGTAGGCTAGAGTGAGAAGCTGAAAAGCATGTCAGAGAAGGCAGTTGCAATGTGAAGGGTGCCAAAGGACAAGTTGATGGGGTCTTTAGTTTTAATCAAAGCCTGATAAAGAATTAAAGATATTCTTATGACAGGAGTTCTGTTAGATCAGGGTGTTCACCCTGGTAACTTTAAGACTTGTGGACTTCAACTCCCAGCTATGCTGGTTGGGGAATTCTGGGATTGAAATCCACAGGTCTTAAAGTGCCAAGGTTAAATTCATGATATATTGATATATTGTGCCCCTCTGTTGAATTTGTTATTTGAGAAAACAAAGTAGTATAGCATGTATTAGATTTTCAGTGAGATTATTGTACTGATTTAATTGAAAACAATATCCCTGCTCCGCAATAGGAGGAGGAAGAAACAAAAATTTATGGGGATCTATCCCTTAATCTTCTTGCCCATGTGCAAAAATATCAAATAAGACCTCTAGTTAAAAAAAGAATGACTCTCTTCATGTGAATGATGAGTGGAACTACATCTTAGTGTAGGTTGAATGAATGTGGTAGAGTGCTTATGTGATTACACCCAAGAACTCTTCACATAGAGATGTCCACTCATTCACGTACATTCCCCCGGCTGATGTTTTGTTTGGGTTTTGAAGAGATAGAATCAGCTTAGGCACGATCATGTGAATGGACCAGAAATTATTTCAATAGATCTGATGCATATGTTCAAAAATTAGATAGGTAACCTTAACCAAAGCATATAATATTAAAATTTTATAGAAATCTAATTTTAGTTTGTGGTCATTATAAAGGCAGGAAACAAATCTGATTCCTTAGTAGATATTTGCATATATGTGCCATGTATGATCTAAGAGGAAAGGTTTTTAAATTTCTTAGAATTCTGTCTTTGACTTTCAATCAGATATTTGCTTTGGTTTATTTAAAGTTACCTGTTGAGTTTAACTCATTAATCAAAGGCAAACGAACATGCAGTTTTTAAGGGTCCAGTAAAAAAAAAAAAACTACCTGAAAGGAAACAAAGATTCAAGACTTGTTCTTATGCTTATGACTTTAAAAGAAATTGAAAATGGCATGTATACCTTCTCTCTTATGTTGCCTACTCATATTATTTTATGTATACATCACTCAATTATTAGAGTGTATTAGCTCCCTATTTATTAGCTATCTAGATATCAATTTTAAGAAGGTATCATTATAGACAGAACAAAATAATATATCACAACTGCACCCAACATTTCTGTTGCTAAGCGAGAGAGTTTTTAAGTGAAATTTGTTCCATTTTACAACCTTTCCTGTCACAGTTGTTAAATGAATCAATGCGGTTATTAAGTGAATCTGGCTTCCCCCATTGTCTTGCTTATCAGAAGGTTGCAAATGATGATCACATGACTTCAGGACACTGCAGCTGTCATAAACATGAGCCAGTTGCCATGCATCCAAATTTTGATCATATGACCCTGGGGAGGCTACAGTAGTAAGTGTGAAAAACAAGTCCTTTTTTTCAGTGCCATTGTAACTTCGTATGTTCACTAGATGAATGGCCATAAATCAAGCACTACCTGTACTTAACATTTGTTTATTGCAGTTAAGAGAGGCCTCTTTTTGTTGTTCTAATGTTTAATTTTTGAAATGACCAGTATATTTATAATTAAAAATTACATATTAAAACCAGCTCAGTTCTTTAAATTTAATTTCATTCCAGCATGCAAAATTGAATTCAGCAATTAAGCTTGGAGGAGGAGAGGCAAAACTGTTGACTGACAAAACAGAAGATGCTGCTGCTTTAATAACATCTAACACTTGTGTCATTGAAGTAGGATCTACAAACTCCCAACCATCAGTTTCTACTTTGGACAAAAAATGGATTGATAACATCACAGCTGCCTTGCAAAGGTGTGGCTTATGTTTATGATTCAGACAGAATTGCTGAATCATCAACATTTGAGATATGGTTCAAAATTAAAAATGTAAAAGAGATATTTGTCTTATACCATAGTTTATTATCTTGTGCAAGAAAGTACTATTGGAATTTGATTTAAGAGTTTTTTCATTTCATCACACAATTTGCCCCAAGGATTCTAGTTTAGCTTATGCTGTATTTAGCAGGATTTTTAAAAGTTTTTTGCTAGGTAACCCACTGTCAGTTGTATAGTGAAATGTATTTTTACAGAATAAAATTTTGAAATATTTTAAAATAAACTTTCAAGATCACGCATATATTGACATTCTAAGGTTCCATATAACATACTAAGGTTCCTGTAGCCTCCAGAATCTTCTGAAAATATGTGTTCATTTACTATCAAGGCTTTGGATATAACTCCAATGAGAAATAGTAAAAAAAATTCAGTTGATTGATTAAAGGGTTACCCAATTACAAAAAATCATTTTAATTTTTTACATGAGAACCCTTAGGTTTTAAAACTCGCACAGTTATAGATTGTAGACTTAAAACTATACATTAAAATGAATTGATCACTGATACTTCAAGAAAGCATTTTAAAGAGTAGGGGAAGATCTAGCAACCTACTTCAATGTTTTTGTGCTACTCTGAATTCTGTGTAAAAGTCTGTTTTTAAATATTTTTCTAGATATTTTTAGATGAATGATACTTTTTGATAACACATTTTATTTCTGTTAGGAAAAACTACAGAACAATTTTAGAAGCAGAAATCGGTTTAGCAGTTATTTTTGCATCTACAGAAAAATACTGTAACCCTCAAATTTCATCCAGTGGAGGTAACAAAAATACTTTTTTCACTTTGTTTTATTTTTTCTAATTAGTCTTTTATTTAATTGATATTTAGTGAATAGCACTTAGATGGTTGTTTACCTGTTTTACTAAATTGAAGCTTGGATTTATTTTTAATGAATGTACAGTATGAAAGTAATTTTCCTCTCCCCCCCCCAAATATTGTTGCCTTTCTCTCTTCTAATTTTTTTTTTCATGAATTTACTCAACAAACAATACCTTAACAAACCATGCTTATTCCAATTTATAAAAACAATAGTGGTGAACCCAATCATTTCATGCATTTGCATTTTATTTCTAGAATGTAACCAGGTAGTCCTTATTTCTGTGTTTATGCATTGTGTAACCCCCTCCAATTACTTATGAGAGAGTACACTGAAATTCACTACATATAGCAAAAAGTGAGTTGTAAATTACCAAAACCCATCAGCACTGACTAACCTCAGAGAAGATTTCTGAAATAATTTCTAATTTCCTTCCATATAGGCAGGAAATCTTTTTGTTGAGTGTTAGATGTAACTCAAACTTTTTTCAAAAACTCAGGATGCTCAGCAACAGTTATAATCTCATCAATACATTAAAGTCATTTGAGCAAAAAAGAAAAAAAATCATATACAATTTCATTTTTTATACAGTAAAAGTAATTTTTTTCTTTTTTTTCTTTTCATAAAATATTTCAGAAGATGGAAAAATGTTAAAAGTTGACATTACAAAGAATGTTTTAATGAATAGTTTCCTAATAAAAGATATTGATGAATGAAGCCTGTTAGCTTAAGATTTAATTCCAGTTCAGATAGATTTATATAACAGCAGACATGATCCGCCATTCCTACTACTCATGTTATCATCTCAGTAGTTCTGTAAGTTTGATTAGATAGCTTGGAAGAATCAAAGATATTGTAATTCAATATATTTTATGAACAAATGGTGTTATGAATGTAGATCTTCATGTGGAATGCTAGCAAATAACGCTGTCATTGTAAATTTGCATTTTGAAGTTTATAATTTTCCTCTTTTTTTCCAAAATATGTTTCTTTTTCTTCTATTTTTTTTGCATGAAAAAATGCAAAATAAGTGTGTGTCTTTTGATTGGCAGCACTAAGCAGTGCTCATCTTTTGAAACACCATTTAGTCCAACGCAAACTTTCACATTTACTGTGAGTCCATTATTTGCCTGTGATTAAGGTCACAAAACCATGATATCTGAATACTTCGTAGTATTACTATTAGCTGTTAAGTTGTACTGATGCAGTTTCAGTACTAAACCAGATATAAAGGTTGCTGTGATTTACAATAATAATAGTGGACTTTATTGTTGATGTTTTATGTTGGGAACTGCCATGAGGTTGTGGGTTGCAAATATAAATATAATTTGTTAGATTTATAATTTACCTTTCCTTTAGGAATTCAAGACAGCATAAATAGTGCTTTTTCCTTTCATTTTAACTCATATCAGCAACCCTGTGATCTGGGTTTAGTTGAAGAAAGCGACTGGCACAAAATTATGGGGAAAGGCTGAACTTTAATCATGACCACTAACTAAACAGTGATTATTGTTAATTGTATATCAGCACCAACATTAGGATTTTTAGTTGGTGGGTAGTGTTTATTTGTTAGAACACAATTCTTCAGTAATAAGAGCAGATCAGAAAAACTAGATTGGAGATTTAAATACTCAAGTCTTACTGAAGTCAAGTTTAAAAAAGTTATGGCTTGGTTAATTTAAAGCCGGCAATATGAGCATGTAGTTTCTTGGATTTCTGGCATATGATTTGATTGAAGAATACCTGAAAGCTTGATGCTAATAATATTGTATCATTAGCAGCATTAAAATAGTTTTATTTGAATATTTTTATCTTCATATCTAAATTGCAGATATAAAAACTGCTACCATAGCATCCCGTGTCTCTGAACAAAGTCAGTCTCAGATTGTGGCAGTGGAGGAAACAACAATGGCTTCCAACCAAGAGGACAGCAATGCATATGTAGCTGACACAGAAATGGATGAAGTGATGGACACATTACTGTAAATGATCATTCAGAATTTTTTTGGGTTGCTGCTAAACTATAATTTCTTATCTTCTTAATTGCTGAAACTAGGGGCAACTCATATAATGTGTGGTTTAGTGTAGTGTAGAAACTTCTGTAATTTCAAATGATTGTTTTAAAAATTAAGCTGCATGTTGAAGAGAATCTAGTTGTGTGGTTCATTCAACTCAGAGTCACTTGGCTGAGATGGACAGATATAGAAAATGAGTAAATAAATAATCAGTTAATTGTGGATGGACATCTAAGTATGCATGTTTAGGAATTGGTTGTTGAAATTAGTTATTTGCAGCAAACAAGACTTTTTTTTTTTACAAAATAGCAATCTACACTTAGTATGTCAACATTAATTGCAATGGAATATTAATTGGATTATATTTAAATACATGTATTTTCCTCTGTATTTTTATATAGCCTTTACACTCCAGGCAATTAATTTTTTTTAATTGTTTCGACATATCCCATTTTCTTTGAAATAGCATGCAAACATACAGAAATAATAGCATTTTTATCATATTAGATAATAGGAAAAGATTAAATCGTTGAGTGTCAGTAAGGAGGCAAACTTTGATAGGGATAAAACTTTAAAATATCACACCGTTTTGTATTATGTTAACATTTTCTTAAGATGTCAAGACAATTTAGAATTCTGCAGTTATTTCCAGGTCTTCACGGATTATAGTTCAAGGAGTGTGTTTATCTCAGTTTTGATTCATATTTTTTCTAATCTGTTTCATTTTTACAGTATTGAATTATCACAAGAGAAAACAAAGACAGAACCGCCTGTCATCCAGTCACAGGATATTATTGTTAGGGAGACTCCAGAAGGAACAAGCAGTGTAAACAGAGGAAAAATCCTGCCCGAGCTGAAGAAGACACACGGAGCTGACTTCACCAGTCTAGCATGCTTATCTTCTGAAATTTCAAGTCACAGCAGGAACAGAGAGAAAGATTCACAGCAACTCGGTTCAATTAAAAATTACTTTCAGGCCACTGCTAAAAAAAGGTACATTAATTCTTTTTCTGATTTGTCTTAAGGGTTAAAAAAAATAAGCTCTCTTTCTTAACCTTTATTTTTATGTTAGCTAACTTAGTTCCTAAGGTCTTAAGGGGAGCACTTATTTGATATTTATTCTGATAGTGATTATTACAGAGTGATGTGGGCTTGGTAAAATTTACAATTGGTCTTGCTTATAAAATATAAATACTTCCTTGTTGAAATATCCATAGGTCCTCCAACTGTACCTGTTCAATTACCTATTGTTGACTAGAAAGGTATTTCAAAGTAAGATCAACTCTCAGTCTCTTTTTTCTACTTTAAGAGAAAGGAATGAGGATGTAGAAACACCATTATCAAAGCATGCAAAGATGGAGAAGAAGTCGTCACAGGTTTCCCATCAAACATCATCTGTACCTTTTTTGCTAAGGGAAAATAATATGGATTCTCAGAAAGGACAGTGTGCAGCAACACAAGGAGTGAGTGACTCAAACATGGACTCAAGAAAATCTTTAATAGTGGAAAATAACAAGTTAAAGCAAACAGGAATGGAAAGTATTCCTGTTGAAACGCCTGCATCAAAGAAGAGAAAAAAAATAGAAGACTTTGTTGAAGATGAAGCTTCGTTAGAACTTGTATTTGCAAGCCAAGAGTTGGACCCAGAAGAGAATATAGGAGATCAGGATGAGCAAAACACTCAGAATGCAAAGAAAAAAGTAAAACTGGATCTTAAAGAAAGCAGTTTAAGAAACAAAGAAACAAAAATAGAAGCCACTGGATTTTTGGTGAGACCTGCTTTTCCTCATGGGATCTATCCACATACCGTGTTTTCCCCAAAATAAGACCCAACCGGAAAAAAAGCCCTAGCCTGATTTTTCAGGACACTTGTAATATAAGCCCCACACCAAAAATAAGCCCCAGTTAAGATAGTCAGCCAGACGGATGCACTTAGTACTGTATTTCCCAAATATGAGCCCTAACTGGAAAATAAGCCCTAATGGGTCTTGGAGCAAAAATTAATATAAGACCTGGTCTTATTTTTGAGGAAAGACAGGTATTAGATCCTTAAATTGCAGACACGCTATTAATCAGTTAGCATTTATACAATTTCCTTTTACTTTTCATATATCTATTCTTACATATATAACACTAATTTTGTTAAGCTGCTGATTTACTGTTTCCACAATGTAATTAGCAATTACAGATATGAAATCCGGGAAAGCACACAAATGCACATACACAAAATATCACATTGTAGTAATCTTGAATAAATCTAAGCATCTTAATTCACAGTAATACAGTCGAGTGCAATATTTCAAGCATTTTTCTTGAATTCATGAACTTAAGTGTCAGCTGCTTTGTGATTATTATTTTTCAATAGAATAATTCAAGATTGTGGAACCTCATGAGATTATTGATGGTCAAAATAGGGGAAGCTTTAGAAGGGTTTGAATGCATTCATGGACTGTACTAATGGCATCAATGATTATACTTGAATTGTTTCTACTAATGGCATCAGTGAATCCTGGGTTAGTAAAGGAGGATGCTGTTGCACTCTGAGTCTGCTAGTGGGTTTAATAAAAGCAAATGCCTGTTTATTATAAGAAAAGAGTTGGGGATATATCTGCAGGGCCTGAATAAGCATGACTCTTCCGAAATTTATGATATAGTTGCAACTGCAGCAACTTTAAATTAGGTTGCTAATGAATAAAAGCTAACTTTTTTATATTATCCTTTAATAATACAAAAATACCTTGTCTGTAAAATGAAGAACTAGGAACTCCAAAAAGGGGGGGAGGGAGGAGGGAGAATGGTGGTTGTACATGAGCTACATGAAAGGAATTCTCTTCGGAAGCAGGATAGGGTGATGACTCGCACATTGGAGAAGGGCTGGGGAAACCCAGGTTAAGTTACATCCATTGTCAGTTGTACAAAATCACTGCTATTATCCAGTTACTTTTAGCTCAACTTACCCATAGGATTAGGTGTGGACAAAATGGAGGAGGGAGTACTATTTATACTGCCTTGAGCTTTTGATGGTAAGGTGGGATATAAACCTAATTGATAATCATAGGACTAACACAGATTTTGTACAAATATATACAAATATATCTTTCTGTTGAACAGGAAAAAAATGAGGAATCCCTTCCAGCAGAAAACCAGAAAGAAGAAATCAAAAAAGAACAACCAGAACCTGTAAGAAGTGACTCAGATCTAAGGAATATATTCATGTTTATCTCAAGCTTAACAGGGCTATTGGGAGGATAAAATGGCAGAGCTGTGTATGGTGCCTTAAGCTTTGGAGGAAGGTGGGATGTAAATACAAGAAATAAGTTTAGTAAAAGGTGAATAAAGAAGGAAAAATATTTTTAAATTAAAAAATGCTTAAAGTGTTAAGCAAAGCTTTTTAAATAACCGTTTCTTACCCAAAACAATATTGGGGGTAGTGTTAAGAAAATATGTCATGTGCTTTCTGCCTCTTTTCTTCTTTCTTGCTATTAACTGAGAGCAAACCCCATTCTTTACTGGCAATTGATGATGTTTCCTAGTTTGGGTAATGAAAGCTTAGCATCAAGGACCCCTCATTTCTACTCTGAGCTACAAATATTCTCCTTTTTTGGCTCTTGCTATTATTTGTCAGGCAATCAAACTAATTACTCCATTTTAGAATTAGAAGTATAGAAGGAGATCCATTTTATTTTATTTTTTTATAAGGACTGTTGGGAGATTTATAAAGAGAATGTCTGTTACAAAATGTTGAGACTATTAGATCAGAGGTGGCTAATTTTTCATGGTGAAATGGATTTAATTACAAAATTTGGGGAAGTATTGATTCAGGATATAATCCCCAGAGTGGGAGGAGGGCATATTTTTGGTAATCTTATTAATAATAGAGTTTAGAGTGCCTATACACTCTAGTGCCTAACTGCTCTTCCTTTCTCTCCCTAAATAAGAGTACAGATAAATGTGGAGATGATTCAAGTTATCTACCTGGTAAACGTTTGCTAATGGAATTCAGATCATTGGTTGTTACTCAACCAAGGAAAACCAGTTGTCCAGCAAATTCAGACTACAGGCATCTGAACAACTTTAAAAAATTTAAAAAGGTTTGTATAATGTAACAAGGGAGCCTTGTTCAGAATATTAAATTTTAAGGATATTTGTTTAAACTTGTTTTATTCCTCTTTTGATTTTGTATATGTACAATTAGTAACTTTTACGAAGTATTTCTCTTTTGCATTTTCTGAAGGTTTCCATATGTAAAAGCATTTTGAGAGGTTACTGTAGGTACTGCTGACATATACAGGAGCTTTAGTGAAAAAAATAATATAAAAATTGATGTTTGTTTCCTTTATTTCATAAACATAATAGTCCAATATGTGTGTCAGTGTGAAAAAGAAATCTTCCCCAAATTCAGTTAGTTCAATTAAAAGATATGTTGTCATTAGAAAATCAAGTCTGAAATGATTCAAGCTAGAACTATATTAATCCCACAAACTTTTGCTTTCCTCATCACAGTGAAGTTCTTACCATAACAATTGCAGAGGCCTCACTCAAAGAAATTTCAGAAGTTTTCTGATTAAAAAAAGGCATTGTATTGCCTACAGTGCAGAACAGGTTTTGGGACTCAGTTGATCTATTGTCAGAGACACAGTCCTAGGATGAACAAAACTTGGAACAATAATAGAAGGATGGTTTTGTCCAGATTACTTCAAGAGCACGGCATAAAGTCATTCCAGAAGTCATTAAAAAAAAACCCAAACATCCAGAAATTTTCTGGTCTCTGTTGCCTTGATTAAAATCTAACTCCACCACCCAAAAAATATGAGTAAAAATGGGATTTATAGGAAATTATCAAGGTGGAAACCCACTGTTCACTAAGAAAATTGCCAAAGAACATTTTGATAGCTGTCAGGATGACTAGATAATTTGTTCTAAAAGAATAACTTTGGGGTCCTAGATGAAGGGTGTTATATCTGGCAGAAACAAAGCGCTGCCTGCTACAGCAAGAACCTAATATAGGTAGTCCTTGACTTACAGCCATTTGTTTAGTGGTTATACAAAGTTACAACAGCACTGAAAAAATGGATTTATGACCATTTTTCACACTTATGACCGTTGCAGCATCCCCATGGTCATATGATCAAAATTTGGATGCTTGGCAACAGGTTTGTATTTATGACAGTTGCAGTGTCCCAGAGTCACTATTTAACTTTTGCGACCTTCTGACAAGCAAAGTCAATGGGGAAGCCAGATTCACTTAACAACAATGATACTAACTTAGCAACTACAGTGATTCACTTAACAACTGTGTCAGGTAAGGTTGTAAAATGGGTCAAAATTCACTTAACAATCATCATGCTTAGCAACAGAAATTTGGGGCTTAATTGTGGCTATAAGTCAAGGACTACCTATACTATCTGTCACACTTGGAACTTTTTCTGATGCAGGAAGTGTTTGTGATATGTGGGAATCCTGGCTTAGAAAACTTTCCTGACTCAAAACCTGGATGATTTACCATAACAAAAAAAAGAGTCTTACTGGAGAGTATTAGGCTGAAGCTGAAATACAAGTGAGTCATTCGGCAAGACAGTGATCCCAAAATGACAAGCTGGTCTACAAATGTTTTCGAAAGTTCAGTCCAGGCCTTAATCTCATAGAAATTTGTGGAAGAGCCAGGAGTTAAGCAATTCATACTAGAAAACCTTGAAATATTATTGCTTGAAACAATTCAGCATGGAATAATGGTCCCAAATTCCTACATGAGGTCTGATGGGGTGATTACTTTTTCATCCTGGCATATGTTGTATTGAATTATTTTATTTATGAAATAAATGAAGCAAGGACCAAAATTGCATTTATTTTCTTCTGCTTTTGCAACCATTGGCAGTAATTAATATTTCTGTTCACAGTGATATGTTTTGTTTTGTTTTTTGGGACAGATAGTTTATCCTGGGGCAGGGAGGCTTCCAAATATTATTGGAGGATCAGATCTGATAGCTCATCATGCTAGAAGAAACCCTGACATGGAAGATTGGTTGAGACAAGAAATGGAGGTAAGAAATACAAACATTTGTTCTATAAGCACAAACATTTTTAATAGCTAAAAACAAATATTAATAATAATTTATGCTGCTTGTCTTGCAAATGATTGTGGGAAGGTCAAAACAGTCAAAGAAATTACAATAAAATCAATAAAGATAAAAGATGGCAAGCATAATACCGTACTATTTTTGTACAATATTTTACAATATAATAATTTTCTATTTTTAACTTTATCATATTTACCATTTCTTTTGTTGTTATACAATCTGAACTTGCTTTTTTCTGCATATATTTTTAGTTTATCAATTTTAAAATTACCCTCTAAACAATTATTTGAATATTGTGAACATTCTGTTGCAAATTTTGACTTGATCTGTGTTTATCTTTTCCTTTATATTTAAGAAATTAGTAGTTTCTTTATCTAATTTTCAGCAAGTCATATTTTGTTGAATGCAGCTTACTTAAATGCAGAGACGACAGGCTATATATTTTGTGCTTATTGTTTCCATATTTTTTTAAAATCTTAGATTTAATTTAAAGTTCACTATTATAAAGACAAAACGTACTTAGTTGTTACTTTTAGTACCTTGAGCTGTGGTGGCGCAGTGGTTAGAATGCAGTGTTAAAAGAAAAATCTTCATCAGGATCCAGTCCAAGCCGGGAATAAACAAAATGGAGACTGCTTTAGAAAGAAAGTTGTAGTTTTTTGAAGAGCAGAACCATAAGACATGAGGGTCTGGAGCAGCTGACCACATGTTGCTGGGAGTGGTGGGTTTTTCTACCTTCTTGGGCTTTTGAGGTTGTTTCTTGTTCCTGTGGCATGAACTTTGAACTGAGGTTCAGTGTGCTTTTCTGATATTCTAATGGTGGTGGGTTAATCCTATTACGTCCTAAAGGTCATACCCTGCTTCCCTGTGGCTGTGGCTGATGACTATGTCCTGTGTTGAATTTTTTTGGGTGAGGTGTTGTTGATTCTAGGGATCTTTTGTCTTTCTAATCCCATCATCTCCAAGCTTCCTGGCTCCAGCCTTTCTGAAAGGATTATCACATCTGCATTTCTACAGACCTGGTTTCTGCTGAGTTTCTGGCTGGGGGGAAGGAGACGTTTCTGCCTTTTTTAAAAGATCTTCTCTATTATTCCTTTGACACAATATAGTTCTATGTATTATATGTATGTGTATTTGTATGTATTTTGTAAGCCAAGAAAAATAGTAAGTGAATGCCTATAGTAAGATAGTATTTTAAATAAATCAGGATTCTCAGATAACATGTGCTCAGAAGCTAGACTAATTCTGGAGAATGCCTGATCTAGGTACGCTCAATGCTGTTTGATACAATGTTCTCTGAGAAGATAGCACACCTCAACCATATAGAAGATCCATGAATATGATTGATGTTTATGAGCATGATTCTTAGAGATATACTTGCTGTGATTAAAAGTTCTTAGGAACCCATTTTATTTATTTATTTGTTTATTATTAAATTTATATGCTATCCATGCTATCCAAAGCAACTCTGGACAGCTTGCAATGCAATAAAAACAAGTATAAACATAAGAACTATTAAAATTACAAGAACTAAATAACATTCTTTAAAAAAAAACATAGAATTTAGTTTTTTTATTTAATCTTTATCCTTTCTAAATGCAGCAGAACATTGAGTGCAATTATTAGAATATTTCATGTACACCACATACAAGAATGGCAGTGGGAATAGAAGAAGAGTTATTGTGAAAAATCAGAGGGAGCTGATATGTTCCTTCCCTGTGTCCCTCCCCATTCACTGGAATCCTCAGGAAAGGCTTGAAATTGCCCACATTTGCGGTAGGAAGGAAAGATTGTGAACAGAAATACCATTGTGGTTGTATAATATAGGATATTATTTATGAATGTCTCTATTTAAAATTGTTATTAAAAGATCCTTGTTACTCATTCTTAAAGAAACATTCTTTTTTTTTTCTAGGAGCAGAATTGCCAAACAAGAGAGGAGTCACTTGCAGATGATCTGTTCCGGTAAGGACCTTATTTTTAATAGTGAAGTCAGTGGCATTTTTCTTCTTAGCAGTTTAATGAAATGGCACATGACTGCTGTTTTTCTGTTCTGACAAACAAATAATGATCAGCATTATATAAGTAAGTTTGCATATGGAAACATATGCATAAAGTAGATCACAATCTACTACTTGATGAGATAGAAAAATGTGGGTTAGACAGCATCACCACCAGTTGGATCCGTAGCTGGCTGACCGGCCGTACTCAGCGTGTGGTCCTCAATGGAATGCATCTACATGGAGGGAAGTGAGTAGTGGGGTGCCCAGGGCTCTGTTCTGGGCCCAGATCAATGATTTGGATGAGGAAATAGATGGGGAACTCATCAAATTTGCAGATGACACTAAGCTGGCAGGAATAGCCAACAGTTCAGAAGACAGGCTTAAGATACAGGAAGATCTGGACAGACTTGAACACTATCTAATGCTATCTAACAAAATGAAATTCAATGGTGAAAAAAGTAAGGTTCTACATTTAGGCAAGAAAAATCAAATGTACAGGTATAGTTTAGGAGGTACGTTGCTCAATAGTAGTAACTGTGAGAGGTATCTCGGAGTCCTAGTGGACAATCACTTAAATATAAGGCCACACTTGAAATACTGCATCCAGTTTTGGTCACCACAATGTAAAAAAGATGTTGACACTCTAGAAAGAGTTCAGAAAAGAGCAAAAAAGAAGATTAGGGGACTGGAGACTAAAACATATAAGGAATGGTTACTGGAATTGGGTATGTCTAGTTTCATGAAGAGAAGGACGAGGGGTGACATGAAAGCAGTGTTCCAATATCTCAGAGGTTGCCACAAAGAAGAGGGAGTCAAACTATTCTCCAAAGCCCCTGAAGGCAGGACAAGAAGCAAAGGATGGAAACTAATCAAGAAGAGAAGCAACCTAGAACTAAGGAGAAACTTCCTGACAGTTAGAACAATTAACCAATGGAACAACCTGCCTCCAGAAGCTGTGAATGCTCCAACACTGGAAATTTTTAAGAAGAGACTGGACAGCCATTTGTCTGAAATGGTATAGGGTTTCTTGCCTGAGCAGGGGGTTGGACTAGATGACCTGAAAAGTCCCTTCCAACTTTATTATTATTATGATTATGATTATGAATAATATGTAAATAAATACACGACATATGTAGTGGTTTCTTCAAACCAAAGGTTTTTGGTCATGTATGTTTTTAGAAGGAAACTCTTGGGTTTTTTCCCCTACTGATTATTCCTTAATTTTTGTTACCCGTTTTGTTCTCCATTAAGTGAATTGGGGCTTTACACTTATATCACTATTCAAATGTCAGACGAGGGGATGCATGTGGTAAAGATAATTTCCTGTATGTCATTTGACTGGCTAGCTAAATAGGATTCCACACTATTCCCGAGTATTAAAGCAGTCGCTATAAATAGTTTTTTGTTCTGTTTGTAATTGTACATCTTCCTGGACAATGGGTGGAGACCTGTACTTTGGAAAGATAATGTTAAATTATGTTAAGTATTATGTTGAAATTATGAAGGATATAATATATGAAAATTGGAATCTCACACGTTAGATTCAGTGGAGAGGAAGGCTGTGGTTTAATGTTATGCGTTTTCATTGGCATCAGAATAGTTCAGTATTNGAACCATAAGACATGAGGGTCTGGAGCAGCTGACCACATGTTGCTGGGAGTGGTGGGTTTTTCTACCTTCTTGGGCTTTTGAGGTTGTTTCTTGTTCCTGTGGCATGAACTTTGAACTGAGGTTCAGTGTGCTTTTCTGATATTCTAATGGTGGTGGGTTAATCCTATTACGTCCTAAAGGTCATACCCTGCTTCCCTGGGGCTGTGGCTGATGACTATGTCCTGTGTTGAATTTTTTTGGGTGAGGTGTTGTTGATTCTAGGGATCTTTTGTCTTTCTAATCCCATCAGCTCCAAGCTTCCTGGCTCCAGCCTTTCTGAAAGGATTATCACATCTGCATTTCTACAGACCTGGTTTCTGCTGAGTTTCTGGCTGGGGGGAAGGAGACGTTTCTGCCTTTTTTAAAAGATCTTCTCTATTATTCCTTTGACACAATATAGTTCTATGTATTATATGTATGTGTATTTGTATGTATTTTGTAAGCCAAGAAAAATAGTAAGTGAATGCCTATAGTAAAATAGTATTTTAAATAAATCAGGAATCTCAGATAACATGTGCTCAGAAGCTAGACTAATTCTGGAGAATGCCTGATCTAGGTACGCTCAATGCTGTTTGATACAATGTTCTCTGAGAAGATAGCACACCTCAACCATATAGAAGATCCATGAATATGATTGATGTTTATGAGCATGATTCTTAGAGATATACTTGCTGTGATTAAAAGTTCTTAGGAACCCATTTTATTTATTTGTTTATTATTAAATTTATATGCTATCAATGCTATCCAAAGCAACTCTGGACAGCTTGCAATGCAATAAAAACAAGTATAAACATAAGAACTATTAAAATTACAAGAACTAAATAACATTCTTTAAAAAAAAAACATAGAATTTAGTTTTTTTATTTAATCTTTATCCTTTCTAAATGCAGCAGAACATTGAGTGCAATTATTAGAATATTTCATGTACACCACATACAAGAATGGCAGTGGGAATAGAAGAAGAGTTATTGTGAAAAATCAGAGGGAGCTGATATGTTCCTTCCCTGTGTCCCTCCCCATTCACTGGAATCCTCAGGAAAGGCTTGAAATTGCCCACATTTGCGGTAGGAAGGAAAGATTGTGAACAGAAATAGCATTGTGGTTGTATAATATAGGATATTATTTATGAATGTCTCTATTTAAAATTGTTATTAAAAGATCCTTGTTACTCATTCTTAAAGAAACATTCTTTTTTTTTTCTAGGAGCAGAATTGCCAAACAAGAGAGGAGTCACTTGCAGATGATCTGTTCCGGTAAGGACCTTATTTTTAATAGTGAAGTCAGTGGCATTTTTCTTCTTAGCAGTTTAATGAAATGGCACATGACTGCTGTTTTTCTGTTCTGACAAACAAATAATGATCAGCATTATATAAGTAAGTTTGCATATGGAAACACATGCATAAAGTAGATCACAATCTACTACTTGATGAGATAGAAAAATGTGGGTTAGAAATCATCACCACCAGTTGGATCCGTAGCTGGCTGACCGGCCGTACTCAGCGTGTGGTCCTCAATGGAATTGCATCTACATCAGTGGTTCTCAACCTTTTTAATGCCGTGACCCCATAATACAGTTCCCCATGTTGTGGTGACCCCGGGTGCCAGGGGCGTGGCCAAGTGGGTGTGGCTGACAAGTGGGCGTGGCCACCAAGTGGGCGTGGCCACCATGTTGTGGTGACCCCCAACCATAAAATTATTTTCATTGCTATTTCATAACTGTAATTTTGCT